GGAACAATAGATTTACATTAGTCCTATGAGTTCCAGAACCTTCTTAGATACCTCATTGCATATACAAAAAACAGGCCTAGCTTCATTACTATCCTGATCTCAGTACACATGATGTGATTTAAAGACACACTGACCTCTGCTGGAGGAAATAAACAACTGCAGGAGTTTTTTTTTTTTACTAGATTTTATATACAGTTGAAGCCAAAATTATTAGTCCTCTAGTCAAATTTTGATTCACCAAATGATGTTTAGCAGTATTAAAACAGTAATTTCCTCAAGAAATGTTCATAATATTTCCTACAATATTTTTTTCTTCTGCAAAAAGTCTTATTTAATTTAGTTGAATATTTACTTGAATATAATTGTTTTTATTTGTTTAAAACAATTTTAAGGTCAATATTATTAGCCACCATTTTATTTTTTTATTTTTACTTTAGCACAACAACTACTAGAAAGATTTCTGTAGCCAGGGTCTCTGCAGATATCATAATGTCAAATTTAAGACCTTTTTAAGACCATTAAGTATTAAATTTAAGACCTATATCGCAATATCAAAAACACGCGGGAGAAAATGTAAAAGCACAAAATTACGGGGTAAAATAAAGTTATTTAAAGTTCGCTCTCTCGCATTACAACGCTCCCGACTTATAAAACTGCGCTTGCGACATTTGTCAGTGAAATAACGGCATACTCTGCCAGCCGAAATCATGTCACGCGCACTCAAAGCGAACTTCCCCAAACACAGCGATGACGTCACATTCGCCGCGCGCACTGAGTTTAATAACAGAAAGCTGATTGGCTATTGCAAGTTGACTTTTTTGTAGTTGTAAAACCGCAAATTACAATTGGACTAGTGAAATAAAGAACTACAACACCCCAAAAACCTAGCAACAACAACAAAAATAATTTAAATGAGCATTAGATGTAGCTTTACATGGACATCGCAAAAATAAGACCTGTGCAAAAATATTTAAGACCTAGAACAGCAAATTTAAGACTTTTTAAAGCCATAAATTTCGATTTTTTTAATTTAAGACTTTTTAATACTTTTTAAGACCCCGCGGGGACCCTGTGTAGCATCATGTGATGCTGAAAGCGTAGTAATTACGACAAATATTCAACTTTGCGTCATAGGAATGATTTACATTATACTAATACAGAAAACAAACTATTTTAAATTAACATTTTGAAATAAAAATCTTACAATATTATTGTTTTACTCCATCTATATAATAATAATAAATTCATATTAAATGCAGTCATAAAGAACAGAAGAGACGTCTTTCAACAACAACAAAATAAATATATAAAGCATGTTTAAAACTTGTTTAACCCTTTCGCACTGTTGGAGATGTTTTCATCTGCTCTAGGGTGAAAGGCAACCAGAGCACAAATATACAGTCTTTGTTTTTGTTTACTCCATGTAGTTCTGAGTAGAGCTTAGATCGGGCCCAAAACATGAAACCCGACCCTACCTGAGCCCATGTACCTTGTGTCTGAGCCTGATCTAGTATGACATTAACTGTAATTATGAGTCTGTGCCCGATTTAAACCCCAATATTTGTTTAAACTACAATTCTGAATTGTTAGAACTACAGAAAATAGTTCAGATCTTAATGAATGTTGTAACAAGGACGAAGCTTGTAAACTGCATTGTTTATTCAGAGTGGATAATAAAAAAAGAGAACACTGAAGGCTGACTATCATCCTTTCTGCAATGGCAAGCCTGCTTTTTGGCATGTGTCTGATCTCGCGAGGAAACTTAGGTATTTTACGTTTTGCTAGTTTAGTGGCTAATACGAATTCGTAAGAGTTCAGTCGTATGAAAATGTAAGATGTTAAAAAGTAGGTGTGGCACCCAACCCCACCACTAACCGTCATTGGGTGATGAGCAAGTCGTACTAAATTATACGAATTAGATTGTAAGAATTCATAGAAATTAGCCACTAAATCAAAAAGTTACGAACTGCCGTGAGATTGCATTAATAAGTCCCTGTTTTTACGCCTCTTTCACACTGCACGTGTGAGCAACCTGTATTATTTTGGCGTCCATGTTAATGCATAAATATTAGAGCTGTCGTGCCACACACAGAAGCAGCACGTCAATGCGGAGTGTGAGCAGAGCTGAAGCAGCAATGCCATGTTCATCTTGGTGCTGGGTCTATTTTTGCCAGAGGAGAAGATGCTGTTGCAGGAGCTAGAGCGTTGCTGTGCATGACACATGTCGGCAATTGTGCAACTTTGTAGACTCACGCATGTTGCTTAGTCCAACTTTGCTAAAATATTTGTATAATATTTCTTATTATGGCATAGCTTTCCACCCAATTAGGCTAATTAAGCAATGACTGGGAAAAAAAAAATGCTTGATCATGGCCCAGCCCGGTCCGAAGATCAGCCCAATCCAATAAGATCCCAAATCTGAGAGCCGAGGTGCATTTTTAGATTTTTTTTTTTCAGATTTTCCTCAAGGTAAGTGCACAAAAGTCACTCTCACACACATATACACACTTTAATTAGCTGTTATATAACTCCCTATAAAATTACATAAACATTAATTAGCTGTTAAACTCCATATAACTAATAATAGCTTTTTTTTTGCACAGGCCTATTCAAAGGGTTAATGCTGCCAACTGATGATCAACAGTAAAAATTACAAATTGTACCTCCTCCCAAGAGAGAAAAACACCAACAATCAAAAATACATGACTATATGGTGTCATGGCTTAAAATTAAAAAATGTGCTTATAATGAAAGTCAATGGGGCAAAAACAGCCACCAACAATAAATTAGGGATTTAAAAAATGTAATCTATGCTGCACAAAAACTAACAATGCATCAAAGGCAATGCTGTTGCTAAAAGATTTATGAAAAACAAGTGAAACTAAATATTTATGTGATTTTTTTTAAAGCAGTTTAATTTAGTGAATGTTTTTATCCCTGACATAAAGAAAGTGGAGTAAATTTGAACAGTGCACAAGGGTTAAAAATTGATAAATAAATCTAAGTTTTTAAAACCATTAAACATCACAATATTTCTGTGATAAAAACTTTTGCATCAACGATCCAAAAACAAACAACTAAAATGAACAGCAGTTTGCACACGGACCCTGAAGTGATGATAACTCTGATCTGCTCTCCATGCAAATATTACTAAGGCAGTTGACCTTGCAAATGAAGTACATGTGCCTAAAACCTTAAATGAGGGCACTCAATGTGAAGAATGGGGAGAGACCTACAGAATCCAGTCATAACAACTACATAAGTTGTATTACCTAAACAAATTAATCAACACTAGAGCTGTACATCTTAACAAATTCTGATGTGCTCTAGTGTCTGTGAATAATACACCACATAAAGACTACTTATATCTGACCTCTGCATGTGGTTTGGTGTAGCCTGATTTGTATTGGGACAGGATGAAGGAATTGAGTGGAACTTAAGCTCGAGTGGGACTATGCTAAAAAGAAAATGAATAAATAAATGAATGAATGACAGTGTAAAAAAAATTTGTTGAGTTACTGCAGAGTTCAACCATAATGAAGCAAAAGTTGATCATTTGCACATTTTTAAGCCCTAAGAGAGTTTAAAGCATTCAGAGACTTTCAGGAAATTTAAAGAGAATATTTTTGAACTATTTAAACAGTAAAGTCTTTGCAGAGTGTTATTTTATATTTGATTTTTTTGTATCTAAATACATTTTGACTAGCCTGAAAACCACAAAGCACTGTTTATTTCACATTTTTTGTTTGCTCTGTTGCATTTAGCTATACTTGAAATTTGTTTATTACATTCCATGCATGATTTGTTCCCCTACAGCAAACTTGTTGCTGGAAGGCCGGTGTCCTGCAGATTTTAGCTCCAACCCTAATCAAACACACCTGAATGAGCTAATCAAGGTCTTACTAGGTATACTTGAAACACCCAGGCAGGTGTGTTGAGGCAAGTAGGAGCTAAACCCTGCAGGGACACCAGGCCCTCCAGGAACGAGATTAGTGACCCCTGCCCTACAGAATCATGTCAATCATCATCTTCTTCTTCGGCCTTAGTCCCGTATGTTTGCGGGGTCGGCTCTTTGGAACAAGTCCTCCATTTAGACCTGTCCATATGATAACAACATTTTTTTTTTTTTTTTTACACCTTCCGGCCGGCCTGTCGTCTGTCGGCCTGTCTCATACACTCACACACTCATACGGACAATTTACCCTACCCAATTCACATGCAGCCCGGAGAAAACCCATGCGAACGCAGGGAGAACATGCAAACTCCTCACAGAAATGCCAACTGAGCCGAGGTTTGAACCAGCGACCTTCTTGCTGGGAGGCGACAGCACTACCTACTGCGCCACTGCTTCGCCCAGAATCACGTCAATAGAAAATTAATCAATTGTTTCCAAAATAGATGTATTCGAGTCATCAGGTGAAATTGTGTGTATATCGCAAATTATATCACAGAAATACAAAATATTGCAATGTCAGATTTTCCAGTATCGTGCAGCCCTATATGATACCAACTTTACCCCAATTTTTTTTGATGTACCAAGAATATTTCCTTTAATTTTATTAAAGATTGAGATAAAGTTGATTTTATATTCGCACACTGGTTCCGTGACAACTTTTGACATGCTCCCTATACGGTTTACCATGGTACTTTGCATATTCTGTCTGAAATCACATGCAAGTATGCCTTCAAAACAACATTAGCAACATTAGCGAATATCAAACTAACTTTACCTCAAACTTTAACAAAATTGTAGACAATAATTTGTATGGTACATCAAAAAGTGTGGTTATCATCACCATCCGACAAGCTAATTGAGCAAAGATTGGGGCTTAAATTTGAACATCATAACGTTAACTTAATTGACTAGAAAATAAGGTGAATAACTACAAGAAAGTCCACTGTTTGAAAAGATAAAAGAGCCACGCTTTCAATAGGCTGGCTACGGGCCTGTATTACGATTAACGTTACTAACATTATATGGATGCAAGTGTGTTTCTTACTTCTTGTAGTCGGCGCTGAACAGGCTGAAAGCGGCCGCTCCTCCGCTGATGCTCGCCTGGATGTTGCTGTTCTCCTGCGCCGCGTCCACGCCGGACTCCACCGAGCTCCCCTGATCATTATAGGACACACTGTTGGCGGACATCCCGAGCATTTATCCCGATCACCGACCTCTTTTATCCTCTGATGTGCTTAGGCTTTAAAAAAACTTTTTTCTACTCCTGACGTGCAACTTTTTTCCTCTTCCACGCAGAGTCGGAAGTGAGCTGGAGTTCAGTCACATGACCGTCACATGACAGCAGCGTGACGAAGCCCAAACACAAGAAACTCTTTTTGTTTTTAAAATATGCGTTGTAGGTCTTATTTTATGATGCAAATTATTAAATGTATAAAACTAAGTAAAACTAAGTTAGATTAATTCTGTGTTAACTTATATTAATACTGTTTTTTGTAATATGTGTAAAATAAAATAATAAAATGGTTATATATTCATAAAATATAATAAAGGTAAAACTAATAGTTTATTTTATTGACAGTATATACTGTAAGCAGTGTGACAAAGACTAAGCAAAACGTTCCTCCTGTTTGATTATATTGCGTATTATATTATTTAGTTAAAACTGTATTGTAATTTGTATTGTGAAAACTTTCCAATTTAAAAGGGCTATTTTTGTTTCACTATTATCTATTTTATTTAATAATAATCTTATTTCAGGATCACAGTTAATTGTTGAGTAAACTATACATAAAGTCATTAGGCTCAACATGTAATATTGTTTTCGCAATAGGCTACAATTAATATATATATATATATATATATATATATATATATATATATATATATATATATATATATATGTATGTGTATGTGTATGTGTGTGTGTGTGTGTGTGTGTGTGTGTGTGTGTGTGTGTGAAGAAATTGTAACTTTTTTCAGGGGAGTGGCAAAGACTAAATAAGGGATCACTTCTCTGTAATTGTTTTTTTTCCCATTATATTTATTAATAACCTTATTTTTAGATTTAAATTAAACATATCATCCAAACACTCTCACACTTCCTTTCTATATATATATAAGAAAAAGTAACTTTTTATTCAGCAGTGACAACATAAAAAACATCAATCCTCTAAAATGATTTTTGTAAAAAAAAAATAAAAAATTCTAAATATTTAATTCTCTAAAGCAATTTTTATTATCTGTTTAAATTATTAATTAGGCTACAATCCACATACTTTTAAACAAAAATATTTTCCATATTATTTATTCATAATCTTATTTCAAGATCGAAATTAAACATATCATCGAAACATTATCACATGTTCTTTGTATTTTCATATTTCCTGAATAAATTATTCAAAAGAACATCGGGCTATGTAAAATGATCCAATATTCCTAAATCAGCAGTGATGCTTTTGATAACCAGCAGAGGGAGACTAAGTCTTGGTAGTGTCACAGATACTGATCTGTATTCAAGAAAAAAGAATATAGAATATAAAATAATAAATTTTTCTTTCATTTTTCTTAATTCACTTTCGGTTGTTTTTAGCTGTTAAAACACATTTTTTGTTCTCAAATTAAAATCACTATCATAATAATAAAAGTCACTGGATTGGTTTGCATAATAAACCAGAAGTCTGGCACATTTGCAAACAATTCTCATCTTCCGCGTTGCAATGCAAATTAAGGTTGAAAACAAACCTGGTTAAACTATGTTTAAATAGTCTAAATATATAGCCAATACCCTGTAATGGTACAATAACATATGCTTTATTATATAGCTAACATGTATGTACGTTTGTATTTTATTTTTACTTCAGACATTTTGGACATAAAATAGGCTGAAGAATTTAAATGTCTAGAAATCAGAAATTATAAAAAAATTGCGTAAAATAAAATGTAAATATATTCTTAAAAACAGATTTGATAAAATATATATTAGAAATACACTTAGAATATTACATTAATAAAAACATTCATATACATGTTTTCCATATGCAAAGTATCGATATAATGGTTATAATTTTACTCAGATTGTTTATTTCAGTTTCCATCATCAGCCTTCAGAAAACACTTTAACGTTTTCAGTCGCCGTTTTTTCTCTCTCTCTACTTCCCATTTTTCTTTTCTCCTCACTTTCACATGTTTGACCCTCAAGTCACCTGTGTTTTGTAAAGCTTTTTGTGGAAGTCAAAAGTTACTCTTTAAACCTAAACCATCGTTTGATTGTTGACTGTAGCTGAAGTGTCTGATTGTAAAGAGATGCGTAGAAGGCTTTTTTTCTCTCTTGTGTTTGAAGAGCAGAAGGCTGGAGGTCAGTCAGCAGACTTTACACTGATTTAGGGAAAGAAAACACTCCGCTTTACATCAGCTCTACAGGTCAGATTTCAGTCTGGGTCAGTGTTACATCATAGATTGCCTCATTATAAATACTGCTGAGGTTTATAAGTGTACACACACACACACACACACACACAACAGGAAGGAGAGAATGTGATTTTATAGATCTGACGTCACAGAATGGATGCCAGATTATTTATAGGATACAAAAGTTGAAATGCCACTTGTCATTTGAAGTGATTGTTAAAAAAGATTGTTAAGTTTTTAGTTGAAGACAAATGCATTTACCACCTAAAATGTAGTAATAAAATTATGAGAAATGTGTTTCAGTCAAAGAAAGGAATCACCCCCAGGGGAAATTTTTTTTGAAATTCCTCAATAGATCAAATTAATTGGAAAAAAGCTTGGCTCTTACCTTACAAATTTTGTGTTGCCAACAAAGTTAAAGAATTACATTTAAAAGTGTTACACAATATCTACCCCACAAACGAGATTAAATTTGGTAATCCTAATTCAAATTGTGTCTTCTGTAGCTCAAGTATCAAATTGATTGAACATCTTTTCGGCAAATGCCCAGGTTAAAGTTTTTTGGTGTGATTTATCCGTCTTTTTTACATCAAAATGTAAGTTTAACATTGATTTTTCCATGTGTGATATAATGTTACTCTTCTAATGACAAACATAACATAGACTTTATAGGCAATTTATTTATTTTATTGGGTAAATATTATATTCACAAATGTACATTTTTTTTCATTGTTACCTCAGTTGCAGAATTTTCTTTGTGACTTAAATTGTTTAATTACTACTTTACAAAATGTTTACCGCAAAAAAAAAAGAGTTAAAACGGACATTTTATAAGGACTTTGTAAATATGATTTGATTTGATAGTTTGCCCCTGTACTTTTTTAATATCTTATTTTATTATTATTATTTGTATTATTATTAATTTTCCTTGTTTATGGCTAAAACACATTAAAATGGGATACAAAAGCTTTAGTTGTGTGTTTTTGTGTTTTATCTCAGCAATGATGTTAAGTAAATCTGGAATTTCACTATTAAAAACACGTCTTCAAACTATAGACTAGCTTAACACATTTTTGATCTGATAAAATAATAAAAAATTTATAAAAATCTAATTTTGACTATAGACTAGCTAAATAAATTAAACAATAATAATTATTAACGGTAAAATTACATCTAAATAATATTAATATAACAAAATAGTTTTTATTATGTTGTAATAATAATTTGTCAAAATATTTGTATTTTATATACATTATATATATATATATATATATATATATATATATATATATATATATATATATATATATATATATATATATATATATATATATATATATAAGCATACAACAGTTCTGTCTGGTTCTTGAATCTGATTGGCTGATAGCCGTGATATATTTGAGTAATATCAGCACCTGTAAAGCCTCTTTACCCTTTGTGTATTAGTCCGCTCACATACAACCAGCAAAAAGCAGACACTACAGATCTAAAGTTTAAAAGATGCTTGCTCAGCTGTTTAACTGTCAGCTTATGATTTGAATCCAAGGCGGAAGAAAGTAGTTCCTCATACAAAAGGGTTATTGAGACTCTCCATGTTTGATTTTGTTTTTATATACACAATTATGCCTTCAAACTATTGTATAAACGCAATATTAGATTCGTAGCAGTGCGATATGGCTGTATATCGGCACTGGTGGGGGCACTAAGGCAACCAACGCACACCTCCCACAAGTGCCGATATACAGCCATATTGCACTGCTACTCGTGTGATATTGCTCATATATATATATATATATATATATATATATATATATATATATATATATATATATATATATATATATATATATATATATATATATATAATTTTATCATTTATGATAATTATTTAAAAAAATGTATTAAACATTATTTTACATTAGGCCATCAATATCAAATAATAATAAAAATCTAAATAATAGAATTTATTTTAAAAATCTATAATATTATCAATTTAATCTAATGATATAAAATATGTTATTAATATAATGTCACATATGTATAAAGTATATAATTTAATACATTTTATAAAATTCATTTTTATTTATTTTAATACACATTTTCAACAATCATTTTAAGTCTTTAATTGATTTAGAAAAAACAATAAGAACAAAAATAATGTATAAAGAAATGTGTGTACAGCAGTAATTTCTGTTCACAATAATATCATATTTCTTATTAGTTTTGACTGCTATTAATCCATCAAGAATTTTGGCAACATCTCTACGATGCTTCAAAAAAACAACCGGTAAAGCCACAGTACTGTTCAAAGTTTTAGGCACTTGTGTGAAAATGCTGTAAAATGAAAATGCTATAAATGATGCACAAATACATTTTATTTATCAACTAACCTATATTAACTGAATCAAATCCACTTTTGGTGCGAGCACACTTTGCATTTAAAACACTTTGTAGACTTTCTTATAGTTTTTCAGGTGGCTTTGCAGGTAGGTATTCTGAAGCATCTTAGAGATGTTGTCAAAGTTCTTCTGGATTTGAGTTTGTCTCAGTTTGTTCTGTTTCTTCTTATAAATCCAGGGAGACTGGATGATGATCAGATTAGATCTCTGTGTGGAGCACTGGCTGTTGGCAGACAATAAGCTCAATGTATAATTACAATTAATGACAAAAATAATGTTTGGAAATGTCAAATGATATTTCAAACTGACAGAAAAATAACGAAATAACCAACTTTAAACCCTTTTTGGGGGGTAAAATACTAGTGGCCAATGTGTTTGCACAGTACTGTACACTACCTGACAAAAGTCTTGTCGTTGAACCCAGTTGTAAGAGCAACAAATAATAGCTTGACTTTTAGTTGATCATTTAGAAAAGTGGCAGAAGTTCGAATTTTCTGATGAATCATCTGTTGAACTG